TTATTGATGCTGGGATTAGGGTGTTCCTGCTGCTTGTTCCCGTTGAGTTCTTGTGAGATTAAAATGGGATTTGGAAAAAGCCTCGTGGAGTAGGATTTGGGATCGGACATATTGGAATTGCCCCTGAACGCGTGTGGAGGCTGGTGTGAGATCAGGAATAAAGAACTGCTGTTTGAACCTGCAAAGCTGTGTGGTGGCTCGTGATTCTGTGCCAAGCCGAGACATTGGCACTTGGCTTTTGGCAGGAGGGAGGGAAGCAAAGCCTTCAAATATATGCCCAAAGTAAACATTAAAAATGAAAAGTAAGGAGGGCTGGGGATGTGGCTCAAGCGGTAGTGCGCTCGCCTGGCATGCGTGCGGCCCGGGTCCGATCCTCAGCACCACATACCAACAAAGATGTTGTGTCCCCCGAGAACTAAGAAATAAATATTAAAAATTCTCTCTCTCCTCTCTCACTCTCCCTTAAAAAAAAAAAAAAAAAAAAAGGGCTGGAGTGTAGCTCAGTGGTAGAGTGTGTGCTTAGCATGCAAGTGGCCCTGGTTCAATCCCCAAAAATAAATAAATAGGGCTGGGGTTGTGGCTCAGTGGCAGAGTGCTCGCCTAGCACACATGAGGCCCTGGGTTTCAATCCTCAGCACCACATAAAAATAAAGGTATTGTGTCCAACTAAATAAATAAATATTAAAAAAAAGAAAAATTTTCAAAAATTAAAAATTAAAGGTATTGTGTTCACCTACAACTAAAAAATAAATATTTAAATAAATAAATAAAGGCTAATGCCCAACTCTAAAAGTCCTCCACAGGTCTCCAGGTAGGGAAGCAACAAAATGCTAGCCAAGGAAACCAGCTTTGTAGGGCATGGTGGTGCACACCTGTAATCCCAGCTACTAGGAAGGCTGAGGGGGGAGGATTACTGAATTCAAGGTCATTCTGGGCAACTTAATGTGACTGTCACAAGGTAAAACAAAAAAAGGTCTGGGGATGTAGCTCAGTGATAGAACTGTTGCTTAGCATGTTTGAGGCCCTGGGTTCAATCTGTGGCACCACCAAAACCCACAAAAACCAGAGAGAGAGAGAGAGAGAGAGAGAGAGAGAGAGAGAGACACACACACACACACACACACACACACACACACACACACATAAAAAGGGCTGGGCACATAGCACTGAACTACACCCTCAGTACTTGCCCAGCATGCTCAAGATCCTAGAATCAATCCCCAACTGGTAGGGGAGACACCAACTTTGAAATCAGTCTTGTGATCAAATCCCAGCTTCTCCTCTTACTATGCATGTGATCTTGAACAAAATAGGTTACTCCCTAAATCTCAGTTTCCTCGTCTATAACAGAAGGACAATGGTTCAACAGGTCATTTCAAAATTATTTCAATATAAGATACATAAAGAAGCTGGGCACAGGGCTGGGGGTACAGCTCAGTTGGTAGAATGTTTGCCTTGCATGCACAAGGCCATGGGTTCAATAACCCCCAGCAAAACACACACACACACACACACACACACAAAAAAAAAAAAAAAAAAAAGAAAGAAAGAAGCTGGGCATAGTGTGTGTATACCTGAAATTCTAGCTACTAGGGAGGCTGAGGCAGGAGGATTACTTCCAGGAGCTCTAAACCAGCCTGGGCAACATAGCAACACTCTCTCTCTCTCAAACACACACACACACACACACACACACTGTGTGTGTGTGTGTATAGATATAATGTCAATGAGGCAAGGTTTGAGGTTCTACCTCTGTTACCTGGCACTTTAAAGATAGTGGGAAGAATACTGGATAAGCATCAGCAAGACATAAGTTACATCTTTACACCTCTGGGTTTACTCAGCTGTAAAATGGGGGCCTGCATTAGTTGATCTCTAAGCAATTTACACATTCTCAAAAAACTGAAATAACCCCCAATTTCTGCGGAATCCTACATTCATTTTTGTTCCTTTAATTTTCTCCCTACCACATTAAGGTGAGAACTCATGTTCTTATAAAACAGGTGAAGAAAGCTGGGCTTGGTAGCACAGCCTTGTAATCACAGGAATTAGGGAGGCTGAGGCAGGAGGATTCAAATCCCAGGTCAACTTCGGCAATTTAGTGAAATCCTGTAACAAAATTTTAAATGGTTGAGAGTGTAGTTCAGGGGTAGAGCACCCTTGGATTAAATCCCAAGTACCTACCCTCTCCAGCCCAAACACAAGGTGAGGAAAACCAAAGAAAGGCCCAGGTGTCCTAGAAACTTATCCTTTAAGTCACAAATTGTGGCCCAAGCTTTTCTACAGGGGGCAGCACAAGGGGTGTCTGAGTAATTCACTCCCGTTAATGGAAGGCAATAAACGCCTTTACTGCCTTTACCGGAAATTTAGCATTCTCTGGCACAAAGTCATTGTTAAGCACAGGCCTAGCATACAGCAGACACTCAAAAATGTTGGCTGAATGAATGGATATCCAACTGACACCTGTTATTCCCTATAAAAGCTTTAATTTACTTGCTTGACTCAAGCCAAACTCCGAGAAAGCTGGTAGGCACTGAGAACTCCACTAAATGTCCTCTGAACCAAGTACTCCTTCAAATACTCAGTTATGCTAAGTGGAAAAACATAACCGTGGGAGAAATGCTGAACCAGCGGAAAAAACTTCGAAGCCAAGTTTCAACATTCCTGGAGACATACACACCCACCGCTGCGAGGGTCAATTTCCCAGTCTTCTTCCAGGGCACCCTCCAAGGTGCTTGGGAAAGTAAGACCCAGCTCCTGTTCCACCCTGAGACACTCGACTCCCCACATAAACCCTTTGGGTGGATGTCGCTCGAGCCAGCACTGCACAGACACGGACACAGGGACACCAGAGAGGCCTCTTCCCAGCTTTGCCAGGTTCACCATTGAACCAACAAACTCTGCAAAGACCAAATTAATCCCGAACCTAGCTGAACTGGCAGTTCCTACCGAGGTGAACTATTTTCCTACAGCTGCTAGAGGCAAACGAAAACTCCAAAGTTGAGTGGAAGGGTCCGTGTCCCCCAGTCCCGGGAATGCAGCTGTTTCACACTTCGCACCCCTCCCTCGGGGCGAGAGGGGGCCGGCCGAGCTCTGGGCAGCTCCGCCGGGGTCCCCGGAGAGCCGCCCGCCGCGGACTCTCTTAGTAAGACTGAAAGAGGAAAAAACCCAGGCTCGCCCACCGCGGCGGATGGCGCAAAGCGGTGGGGGATTTTAGCAGAGCGGAGGGGCCCCCAGAGGACTGGACGTCCCCGGGTCCGCAGCGGCCTCCTTCCGCTTCCCCCCCTCCCGCCCCGAACCGGGCACACCGCCCCGGTCCGCGCAAGCACCCCTACGGTGAGTCCCTCCTCCTGCGAGCACATGAACTTTAAAATGGTGCCTCGGGCGGGGGGGCCCGACGGAAAAGGAAGGGTTCCAGGAGCCGGGGCGAGCAAGCGGGTGCAGGGGCCACGGAAAGAGACCCCAGGTGGCGGGTGGGGGCGCCCCGAGTGACGCGCACACGGGGGCGCGGAGGGAAGCGCACCGGGCAAAGGTGGAGACAGAAATGGAACGCGGCCCCTTTAAGAGGCCTTCAAGGCACTCAGGGACCGGGGGCCTCTCCTCCACCCCGGCCCGATGTGTGGGGCCCTTCTTTGGGGAGAACCATCCCCGGACCCGTTCACCGGAGTCTTCCCTCACGCCAGGTCCCGCCCGGCCCTGCCCCGGGGCGGCGGCTCCTCCTTACCCCGCTGTCTGCCGCCTCCTCCCAGCTCTCAGCGACCTCCTCATCTTCCATCTTACTCGCCACTTTCCCTCCTCCCCCAACCCCTCCCCGCGCCTGCGCCCTGAAACGCGCCTCCGTCGCGGGCGCGGGCACGTAAGGCTTCACTCAATGGACCCCGCCCCCGGCCGAGCCCGGAAGAAGCTCCAGGCTACGGCCCACTCTAACCGAGGCTGCCATCTTGGAAGAGGGTGTGGAAACTGCGCTGCGGCCATCTTTTCTAAGGGAAACTCGTTATTTCTCGCCTAAAGTGGGAATTCCACTGAAGTCATCGTCTGCAGTACAGGAAGCGCCTCTTTTGGGATCGACGCAGGCAATTACTGAAAACTTTTCTTTTTAAGTGAGTCGCAGTTTCCCTAATCTGTAGATCATGTTTTTCCTCAGGATTCTGAAAATACTCTTATATCTCAACCAAGGATGAAAAACAGCTGTTAATGCATAAAACATTTTCATTTCTGATAGGGTGAAAATTTCTGATTACGTATTTCCTGCTCATTAAGCAGTACTCCAATCATCTATTTTATATCCTCTATCGTGTGGTAGAAATATTACTGTGAGTTGATAATATTGCATCTAAGTGAAGTAACCAGAAGGATTCTCAGCTACGGTTGTCCTGCGTCTTTAATGATAGGTGAATACATTAGCATTACCTTTAAAAATCCACTACATTTCTACCTAGCTTTCTTGTATTGTCTTTCTTCAGAATACAAGTGGAGACCTTTTCCAGTTCACCTTCAGACGCCTTCAGTTTGAACAATCTTGTGTACATTATGAAACCGTGCCTTAGTTTCCCTAAGTGTAAAAAAAAGAAATAGTAGTAACAACTACCGCAAAGGTAGGTTGTGAGGATTAAACGAGTTACAATGCTGAAAAACCTAGACATATCTGACCCTGAGTAAAAATTCTGAGTTAGTTATTATCATTATGGGGTGGAGTGTCTTGCCTGCCTGGGGAAGACTTCTAATTCTCACTTCTCTCTAATCATCCTTTCTTTCCCCAAACACAAAAGGTGGGGAAAAAAGCAAACACCATGTTTTTTATTCTCACTGACAGGTTCCTCTAGTCCTCTCAGTATTAAAAGCTTCATAATTTTGCAGTGCTTCGTTTGGCTGCTGTAATCAATTTATCCAAATCGGAATGTGTTTTTCTGCATGTTTTTAGCATACCATTAGTCTTTACAAAGTAACGTTTTCCTGTTGTGAAAGTTTGCAGTTTGTATTCCTTCTCTTTCTTCCCAATACTGGGTATTGAAAGCAGGATGCTTTGCTCCTGAGCTGAATCCTCAGTCTTTTTTTATTTTATTAATTTTAAGACAGGATAAACTGAAGGCTGTCCTCGAATGAACCTCTGGAACTTTGAGTACAGGACACCGTACTGGGCTGCAGTTTGTATCCTTGGTGATTATTACTGTTACTGGCAGCCCAGCCAGAGAACCTCCCTGGATCCTGGCTGGTGGAATCTGGCATCCTGCCTGCGTGAGAAATGATGTAAAAAGGAAAAATGAATTTTATGCAGTTTGACCTAATTGGGGAGAAGCAGCTGGATTTTTTCTCTGCCTGTCCCGCAGAAGCTGTTAGGATTTATAAAAACAAAAAGCCAAGTGATTTACATATGTTAATTTAGCCAGGTGGTGCTAGCTTGAGAATCCCCAAGCTTCAGGATGCCCAGCCAGGCCACCGTGGGTGGTGGTTTCAGTTTTCATTCTCAACCTGGGGAAATTCAGGATTCAGAAAAGCAGTTATCAGGAAGTTGCTTTGAATTTTAAAGGGACTGTTTCATTATGAGTCGCAATCATGTGTTGTTACTGGTCGTTACTTAGAAGTTAAAGTGTCCTGTTTACTAATTCAGTTTCACAACTTCCTGTCTCTGAAATTTTGTTGATCTTTAGATCTACCCTCAGTCCATGGTTCTTATCAATGCTGACGGTAAAATGCTTCTCCCAAAGTTGATTTCTAGTTGTGAACTGATTGGGTGTTTACGATTTTGATTCATATAGCTCRATTTCTTATTGTCCCCTGTGTGGATATTCCATTGGCAGCTCAAATTTTCTGGTTGAAACTCATCTAATACTGTTACCTGCTTCACCATCTTCATGGACAAAGAGGATGTTGTCTTGTTCATTCTCTGGGACTGTGTTTATTTGTAATACATTCTCCTGAGAACCCTTTTTTTTATTTTTAGAATTTTTTTTTAATATTTATTTTTTAGTTTTCGGTGGACACCTTTATTTTATTTTTATGTGGTGCTGAGGATCGAACCCAGCGCCCCKCRCATGCCAGGGGTCTTGAACCACATCCCCAGCCCCAGAAGCCTTTTTTTAAAAAAATAATTTTTTAGTGTTGATGGACCTGTATTTTATTCATTTATTTATATATGGTGCTGAGAATTGAACCCAATGCCTCACACATATGAGGCAAGCACTCTACCACTGAGCCACAACCCCAGCCCCAAGAACCTATTTTTAAATTTTTGTTATTTTGGTACTAGGGATTGAACTTCACCACTGAGCTATGTGTTGCTAAGGCTGTCCTCAAACTTGTGATCCTCCTGCCTCAGCCTCCTGAGTTGCTGGGATTACAACTGGGGTGTGCCACTGTGCTTTGCTAGAACCCATTCTTTTTGAGAGGTGGGTACCAGGGTTGGAACTAAGGGGCCCTCGACCACTGAGCCACATCCCCAGCTCTATTTTATATTTTATTTAGAGACAGGATCTCACTGAGTTGCTTAGCACCTCGATATTGCTGAGGTTGACTTTGAACTCAGGATCCTCCTGTCTCAGCCTCCCAAGGTGCTGGGATTACAGGTGTGCGCCACGGTACCCGGGGCTTCTAGAACCTATTCTTTGAACTGAATTATCCTAAGTCTTGGTGACAGCAAGGTGGATGAAACCATCAAACATAAACTAAGTCTTATTCTGGAGGTGTGGTTTGTTTTTCCCAAATGCAACCAACTCCCAGTACTTTTAGGCTTTGTAGTTATAGCGTAATACCACCAGAGGGAGATAGTTCCTTACTGTCGTGCTCCATGGCAGTGTGCCTTAGGGAAGGCATTAGCAGGACATTTCTGGGGCAGAATTTTCAGAGACYAAAAGATCTAACCTTTGGAAATCATGAGTTTGCTACAAAGGAAATAGATTTTGTTCCACCAAATGAGAAATCAGAAAGCCATCCCTAGATAAACATAGAGACCCTGGCAACCTTGGGCAAGTTCTTTTTTTTTTTTTTACTATTTATTTTTCAGTTTTCGGTGGACACAACATCTTTATTTTTATGTGGTGTTGAGGATGGAACCCAGTGCCCCGCGCATGCCAGGCGAGCGCTCCACCGCTTGAGCCACATCCCCAGCTCTTGGGCAAGTTCTTTACCCTCTTGATCTGTTTGGTTATTTGTTAAGTGAGGGCATGAGAATCAATAAACAAATAAAATTGGAATGTAGAGGCAGTTTCGTCCTCTCAGAAAGTTAAGAGAGTGGCATACACATATATAGGCAGAGACCCTAAGCCATCGACTCCTGTTTCTTGTGTAGTATGTCCAATTCATGATTCATGTTTGGCTTGTATGCTGGAAACATGCACCCAGCAGGCACCTTTGATACACCAAATAAAACACTGATATGTGGGGGCTGGGGTTATAGCTTAGTGGTAGAGTGCTTCCCTAGCATGTGTGAGGCACTGGGTTCGATCCTTGGCATCACATAATAAATAAATAAATAAATAAACAAACGGTATTATGTCCATCTACAACTAAAAAAAAATATTTTAAAAAAATCCACTGATACTGGGATGCAAGGATGGTTCAATATACGTAAATCAATAAATATTATTCACCACATCAATAGACTTAAAGATAAGAACCATATGATCGTCTCGATAGACGCAGAGAAAGCATTCRACAAAGTACAGCACCCCTTTATGTTCAAAACATTAGAAAAACTAGGGATAACAGGAACTTACCTTGACAT